CAGATTTGAACACACCGTCTTATTACTCATAGCTATGTTTGTAAAATGATAAGTAAACCAAGAGGACAGTTAAGACATTTCTTTAAGAAGTGGAAAACAGGGATAAAACAAGCAATTTATAACTCTGAAAACAGTAAAGTACTAATTTAAAAGAAAAGTTCAAATAGAAACAAATAGAGAACCACTTGTGTCCTTTTTTTATAAGGATGTTTTTATAATTTAACACCTCAATACTTTAACACAACATGTTTAGATATAATTCTTTAAAAGTTTATGCTATACAGTTTAACAGATGCTGCTATGTTTCTTTTTCCTTTCAGTTAATGGGCTCATTTGTTCTGGCAGTGGGACTTTGGCTGCGTTTTGAACCTGATACTGTTTCTCTTCTTGATGACAAAGACGCTCCATATACATTTTTCCTTGGTAAGTGCCTAATTAAACCTTAGCTTACTCTACTCTACTTATAATACGACTTTAATTCATTACAAGTTGAACAGTACAAAAAAGAAAAGGTTTCTTCTCTATGAAACCCTAGTATTATAAATTGTTCCACAGACCTACATTTTTTCTTCCTCGGTTTGCTGATGAAATATCTGTTGTTTATATTTACTAAACCTGAATGATTAAAATATCTTATTTGTGTATATTGTCCTGGAAAACAGTATCCATAACCACTTTTGTTTTGTTTTTTATTGTTCTTTTTTCATAAAGATCAGAGATTATATGGTTACATATATTTCCTCACTCATTTATTGTAATTCTCCTAAAAAGAAGATATCTTGATTGAGACAAATGAACCTTCCTTAAGGTCATGAAGTCTAAAGGCCAATTTATACTTCTGACACATAGCCTCTGCAACCGTCAAAGCAGTCTCTGTGTGCGACCACGCCCCCCGCGCAGAGGCTCTGCAACCGTTGTCGCGCACCTCAAAAAAATCCTGACTACGCGTCAGACGGTCGCAAACCCAAGCAGACCTCAAGCGGAAGTGCCGTACACTGGCGTCACCGGGCCCTCTGACCACCATCAGTAGACAATGCAGGTGAAGTGTCTTGCCCAAGGACACAAGGACACTGAAAGTCGGAGTCGGGGCTTGAACCGTCAATCCTTCGATTTCAGGGCAAACTCCTACATCCAACGCCACTGTCGCCCCGAATAACCACGACGAAAGGTTGATCGAGTAGGTTCGGAAGTACAACCACTTGTATGATGCCTCAGACATGTTGTTTTGGAAAATAAACATTCCCACCGGCGCCGCTGAAGTTCTCGTGACCACCTGCCAAAGTTCTTACGAGTTCTTGAATAGGCTTCCCCTAGCGCTTTGGCGGGAAACTGTTGCGTCCCTAGAAATCCCAGACAGACGTTGCAGAAGCATACCAGCAAAACTGGTTCATGACCAGACACAAACAACATCTGATGTGTGCGGTTGCAGAAGTATAATCTGCCCTTAAAGAGTAATGAGAGTTTCCTAATGATACTACCACCTGTGGCCAAAATAGAGAACTGCAGTACTCTTCCCCTCAACCTCGTAGCTCACTCTCATACTTGACAAATTTTTTTTGTCTACTCTTTCAACTTACCTGGAGTTGCCATTGGTGCCTGAGTTGGGCTGGATGGCAGTCTCTACTGAGTATCCACAAAATTCATCTTGAATATAAGGCTTTGATTGTTTTCTAGTTCTGACCTAATTAACATGGACGCGCTTGACGTCACATCTGCCGATGCATCGCCGCTGAATTAGTGAGGTGTCAGTCTGCTCATCAAATGATGATTTAGTCATAATGGCTCAAATAAAAAGGCTATTTTGAAGGTAGTTTTTAGTAAAAATGTACATAATATCTCTTTAAAGTAGGAAAAAGTTGAAAGACAATATCCCATAATCTTAGCATCTCAGAAAGCACTGTATAATACCGCATAAGAAGCAAACATGTGGAACAACTACAAACCGCCAAAGCCAAAAAAGAGTGTTAATCAGCACAGAACTCAGGAAGCCCATAATAACTCCGAAAGGAAAGCCACTTAGGAAAGAAACCAACAGTGAACCTTGTCAAACTTTGTCACCTGTGATGTATGAGTCACAATAAGGAACAATGAAACATGGTGGTCACACAGTCATGCTGTGGGGATGCTTCTTTCTTTTAATGTGGACAAAGTAGCTGCTCAGAGTGGATAAGAAAATGATGAATCTAAATAAACGAACTCATGAAGAAAACTTTTTAGAGACTGCAAAATACCCAGACCCAGCCCATCAAATCAAACATTAAGTATTCCTCTTTTGCAAAGCCTGTTTTTTCCATTGACCAATGTGCTTTTCAAGGTTTTAGAATATTAAACTTTTTTTTCAAAAGATGAGTGTGAAACCATGGAGAGAGAGAGAGAGCGGTGTACACATACTGAAAATCCATGAGGGAAAACCACAGGCCTGCACACCACCTTTAAAGCTGCCTCTGCCCAGATGGAAAGAAAGAGACAGACAGCAGAACAGCCACTGAAAAGTATCCATGGAAAGAAGTTTTTGCAGGGAAAGCAAAGCTCAAGTTAGCTACAAATAAAGAGCTAAGAAAAGAAATGAAAGAAAATATGGTAGAAAATGAAAGAAAAGTATATTTAGAGTAGTTTTGGACTGACAAACAAAAATTACTGCACTGCAATTTACATTTTGTAAACAACTCAATAATGTGAGTGATTACAGCAATCTAACAAACTCAATCGTTTTTTCAGGACTGCTTCTTTACGTTAATTGTAGACTACCCTTACTTAGCTAAAAATGTTTGTTACGAATCCTATAATAACTTAAAGGTGTGTCTTCTCTGCTGTCTTTGGGAGAGATATCCCAACAATTTAATCTAAGATGTATAGCTCTGATTATGATTTGCCAGACTGTAGTGTTACACCCAGCTTGGACAGGGAGTGGCATGTCCTCGTAGGCACAGCTGAGAGTCCCTAACAGTTGTTAGGCCTCATTGGCTCAGTGATATACTCCCCATGAACTCTTTTTTGTGACATAACATTGTATCGAAAATCAATTTTTAAAACATGGGCATGCCTTTAACATATTTTCTATATGTTAAGAAAAATACCTAAATTGGATCATTTAGCATCAGAAATATGGAAGAAAGTATTAGAAAAAAGCAATCAGTTATCTTCCCTTATTCTATTCTGTGAAGTTTTTGTCTCAAAACAGCCTCTAACATTTCATTCTTGTCAGGCTCTCATATATGGATATATTTATAACTTTAATATGATTGTTATTTTATAAGCGGGTTATTAGAGAATCTAAAAGGCATCAAAAGGCTATAAAAAGACCAGATTAAGCCTCCTGCAAATCAGACTGTTTACAAGGACACTTCTTAAAAAGTTCTCTAATTGAATAAAGTCCTAAAAAGGCATCTGGTAGAGCAGCACCTTAAAGACTAATGAGAGTTTGAAAGCATGGTTCAGTTCTTGAAACTAGAGATACTGTCGTTAGCTCAAATTCTTTACTCTGTGCTGCCATCTGCTGCTAGCTTTCTTAAATCAATATGTGATGGTGAAGATTAGCTGTGATCTAGATCATAGTAACTCAAAAACAAGGTATAATAAACATCTGGACTTCAGTCTTTGCTGTCAAAAGTGTTCTATTCTTTTCATGTTTCTCAATTCAGTTATGGAGGTTAAGTCCCATGATTTCAAACTGGTTTAGGAATTGCTTTCCTGCAGATCTGAATTAATCTTAAGATTGGAATCCCCTAACAACAGAGGAGGCAATTTTGGTTTGGAACATTGAGAGATTTTTGGTCAGCAGCAACAGGCATTGTAGCTATTGGACACAGAATATTTATTTTCCGAGAATTATCTGTAAACCCGAGAGAAATCCCCATAGATTACCAGTTTCTGAAATCCTCCAGCCAGATCACCTGACAAAAACAACAACAGCACCACAGTCGAAGTTGCTTAAAGACCTTAACTCACAGCAATCCACCTTTTTGCTACCTTTTTTTCAGTGGCTTGCTGTAGCAGCAGAGTTATTTAAAAAATAACCTCAAAAGTTCTTCCTCTCATGACTGCAAGTCTAATATCAGTGAGTTGAGAATGATTATTATGATTACTATTAAACTGAATGAAGCTATTGTAAGCAGTTTTTTGCATAAAAGCTAAAGATCAACAGATACATGTTTCTTTTTAAGGCTGATGCTGATTATTTGACATCCGTCCCAATTTAGCTGCCTTCTCAGTTCATATGATAAAATAAAATAATAAAAACAAATGTTTACACAAGTGTTAATTTAAAAGAAAAAAACATTTATTAACAAATCAAAGAAAACATTAACAATGGATGGCAAATAGAGCAAGCTGCAATGTATATGCCTTACATACTGTTGCAGAAAAATGAAAAAAAAAATCAGCCAGCTTATTTATGCGTGTGTCTCCAGTAGCAGCCACTAGCAAGCCTAAATAACAGCAAAGCACATTATTATTTTTGCAGATCCAACTCATATTCAGTTATCCTCCCATCTGTTATCAAGATTGACAATTGCAGGAAGGTTTGTTTACATCTGCAAAAAATGCTGCTATATGTTTGTCTAATTAATAAAGTAACCAAAAGAAACAAAAAATATACCAGAAAATATGAAAACTAATTACAGGTATTAACGCAAGCTTTGTTTCTTAGATATGTTTTAATTAATTTTAGGTATGTGCTGGGAATAAACATTTCAAATAAAAAACTTAAAAACATATTTGCGACTGGCTTAACTTCATGTTCTTATTTATTTATTTATTTATTTATTTATATAAGTGTTGTAGTAAGAAAATTAGCTGGAAACAACATTAAATCATGAATAATGAACTTGATAGTTTGCTATTTTTGTTGAATTTTTTCAGTTCAATAGTTGTACCTAATAAAGTAGCGAATGAGTTTATGTTTAGCTTTACTATTTATATTAATATACGCTACCATATTCCTCAATATCAAATATCTTGTTTGTATTTTCCTAACAATGTTTTTTCCTATCGTTCCAGGTGTGTACATACTAATTGGTGCTGGCAGTCTGATAATGCTGGTTGGGTTTTTTGGCTGTTGTGGAGCTGTTAGAGAATCTCAGTGCCTGCTGGGTTCAGTGAGTGCAATTCCACAATTAATATGGTTATCATATGTATTATTGCTTGGATAAATAACCCTTTTTTATTTCATTCAGTTTTTTGCTTGCCTGCTGATCATCTTTGGAGCCGAGGTGGCAGCAGGAGTATTTGGATTCATAAATAAAGATAAGGTAAATGTCAGCACAGCTTTAGTCATTTATTTTAGGGCTTTACCAGGCGGCCAGTGGTGTATAATATTTATTCCCTTCTTTCACACAGATCATTGACGATGTACAGAACTTCTACAAAAAGATTTACAATGAAAACAGCAACAGTACAGTGATCTTGTCCTACTACAAAGTGGTACGTTTTCTAAAAACATTCTTTTAAGATAAGTTAAAGTTTTATTTTATTGATAAGATGTTTGATTGTTAATCTCCTATGATTTACTTCCCATGTCTAGCTGAACTGCTGTGGAACTTCATCAAGCCCATGTGATGATGCTGAAACTAACAATAAGGTCTCTCAAACCTCTCCACTCTCTTTAATGATTGAGTCCTGATTAAATGCATAACATCCTAATAATGCTGAGGAAAACGCAATCCTTACTGTCCTCGTCTGTGCTCCTTAGAATTGTGAACAAGGAATCGAAGATTTTTTCAACAGTAAACTCTTCATCATCGGTTATGTGGGCATTGGCATCGCTGGAGTCATGGTGAGTCAGAGCATGAGAAATGTCAGGAATACTTTAAGAAGCTTCTGAAATAACCAGACTTCTGCTCCCTGGTTCTCAGATCATTGGGATGATATTCAGCATGGTGCTTTGCTGCGCCATCCGCAACAGCAGGGAGGTCCTCTAAGCTCCGTCTTTGAACAATCTACACCCTCCATCCCCTAAAGCACTTTGGATAAGATGTCAATTTCTGTCACTCATCCAGACACCAAGACGTAAAACAGGTTTCATAAATTCCTCTTAATGTTGGTACTCCGCTCCCTCCTTTTGACCTGTTTTTAAATTCCTGCTCACAACCAAATAGAATAATAGCGTTCATAGACCTTTGTTAGGAAACTTTATATTTACCCGACAATCCCCTAAACAATTTTTTCCTCTTAACCATTTGGCCACTGCTAGATTTTTTTTAACCACATACTGTCACAGCGGTGTCAGTGCTTTTTCACACACCATTGACACTGACCCCTTTCCTGTGGGAAACTGGAGCCTTAGAGAGCCATATAAGGTTCAAATGTCTAAGTTTGCTTATGTGTGACACAGAAGTACAGATAACCCACACACCACTGTCATACTACATGAGGTTACCACCTTGATTTAAAAAAAATTTTTCTGACCATTGGTGAGTCAAAAAGTACGTACTGTACACAGACTCCGTCAGCTGTTCTTTTTTTCTTTTTTTTAACAAACTACACCTAATGTAAAGAAATTATTTCTGATTTTGAGTTTTATTTATTTGGATTGTAAAAGATGTTTTGTTAAAAAGTATTGATGTTCAAACATACCCTGTTGTCTGACATTTAAGCTTGTAAATGGATGTAAAAACAAAACAAAATGGTGCTAGACGTTTTTACTAAATTTGGAAAAAAAGAATGGACTCGACCCCTTGCCTTTTACACAAAGATTGCTGGAAATAGACACTGCCCCCTATTGACGGATGGATAGATGTTTATGGACAAAACTGTGTTAAATTAACCAAGAAGATCATTTAGGCAGTCGTTTCCTTCTGTGTGGATTTCTTTATCCCTAAGGTGTTTAGTCCATTAAAAACAGACTCAGGCTTGTTTTCCCCTTTGTGCGTTTCGTTTGAGTAAATGTGCACACAACAGTTCCACTAAGATGAAAACCAAAACACAGTAGAGAGACTGTTTGGAGGAGCGTGCTACAGTAGCAGCCATTCAAAATGGCTCTTCCCAGTCAAACGCCAGCCGAATGGCAAACTTCCAGCCACTAGAGTGAGATTTTTTTACTCTGACTCCATGCTTTCACTGAATTATGGGGTCTTACAAGGAGAAGGCGCTTCTCTTTAGATCTTGATGTCCACAAATCATGACAGAAAGAATATTTTAGTACAAAGATTGATCTTTAAAAAAGGAATCAGAGAAGGACCAGCCAAGGGCCCATCAAGGAAAGTGGGGAAAGTTTGAATGGCTGCTACTGTACTTGTTACTTTTTTTTATATAAACTGTAGAAGCATTTGTGACTATCATCCGACATAGCTAGCAGGTGTACGCACCAAAAAGCCGCGTCATATGCCTTCCTGTTGCTAGGTTTGTTTTGCTTTATGACATGCGGGTAAACAGCATAAAGCCCTCAAGATCTCCTCTCAAAGTCTTTCAGTATTCATTTCAGATATTTTTGCTTAAAAATATTACTCAGAAACAAAAGATGATGTGATTAAATCATTTTGGTTATAGCTCAGAACACAGCATCAAAAGTATACTTACGTACTTCTGATCCAAACTTAACTGACCAATAAACAAACATAATCTACCTGCAATGGTTTTTAGTGACACGTTTTAGCCTGCTTTGACTTCTTCTCTGTAAAAGGTTTATAAACTCATCAAATGATTATAAAAAAGTCAATTTCTGTTGTGAAATCGCCTCTAGACCCTCTTTACTCTGAAAATAGACAACGGCATTGCTTTAAACATGGACGGTCTGTACAGTCTTGAGATTTCCAGGATGCATAAACAATGCAGTCAGCTTACATTTAACTGTACATAACAATTAATCAAATAATTTGATCAAGATATCCACTTAGACATTGTAATAGTTAATCACGGTTAAGATTATGATTCTAGATACTGGCTGAAGAGGCCTGGCAGCAACATTGATCCCTTCTGTACTAACTGGTCAATATTGATATAAGTGCCACACTAGCTCACTCCTGTTGAGGCAGCAACAGATTGCACCAACACTGGAATGAAAATTGGGGAAAAAATGAAAAAGCAAAGAAAAGATTTTAGGGTGGGATTCTAATACATAGAAACAAATAGTTGAGGTTATGTGCAGTTGTCACTATGGCTGCTCTTACTGACATAGGCACACAAAAAAACATTTCCTACACACACGGGGAAATCCATATTGGAATGCTTGGTAATGTGCAGTACTCTGTACATAAAGCCGCCCACTTGCATCCTCTTATGCTGTTTATCTTGGTCTCTTAAAAGTAACTTATAGTGGACATTTAGAAACCTGTTATATGTACAGGGACTCTGTACATGCCTGTGTTTAAAGAGCCAGAAATCCCAGTTTTGTCCTGTTCCAGCCACAGTCTTGTTCTGATGTAAAGAGGGGCTAACACTTTGAATAACAGCAAAAATATGTTTGCTTTGGTTAAAGAATGCATGTAAAAATACAGATACAAAACATTTATACATACATGACCACATGAATGGTTTTAGAAAGGAAATAACTGCCTCAGAAATACATTCAGAACATAGAGGTCATTTGAAGCAGGGTTTCTTATCCCTGGTCCTCAGGCCCCTCTGTCCTACATGTTTTTGGTGTTTCCTGCCTCCACAAGCCTGACCCGAATGAAAAGGTGATTAACAGGCGTTTTTAGCATTTGATAGCTGCCAAGGAGGTAATGCAATCACTTGAATCAGGTGTGCTGGAGTAGAGATATCTAAAACATAAAGGACAGTGAGCCCTGAGGACCAGCGTTAAGAAACGCGGTTTAAGCAACCCTAATGAACCGGGAGTTTTCTTTTAGTTAGAACTTTTTTAGATTAAAAATGTTCCAACCAAAACTTTTTTCAGAGCTAGTTAACTGATAACTCTCATTCACAGCTTGAACAATAAATGTCTAATCTCAAATTACTGTCTTTGTGCCTTAGAAATATACTTATCAAACAAAAACACACAAACTTAACAGGGAAAACAACTTTTAAGTTCATGTGTCCCTCATTCATAGATCCAGTACTCGAGGATTGAATCAGCTTGACCAATGTGAACTTGTTTACATTTATCTGATTTAAATCAAAGCGTTCTAACTGCTGCTGCGGTTATTTCGAGTTTCAGGACTCCAGTGTGTAAATATATTTGTTTTTGGGTTTTTTTACTTTATTAGTTGTAAATTATTTGTGGCTGATGTGGTACTGACTATTTAACATGATGTATTTTGGCACATTTGATGTAGTTGTACAGAGATATTGTGATGTCATTTTTAGCAATTCGGAACAAGAAGTAACTGATACAAAACATATTGATGTGCCTTTCTTTGATCACAAGCCTCATGTATTTAAAGAACTGCAGGTAATGTCTGTAAGTAGCAAATAAATGTAGCAAAGTGTGCATATGTTTGTAGAGTCAGACTGCTAACACAGTACTTGTTGCTCATATCTGATAAGTTGTTAACGTGTTGCACTCCTCACTGTCCCCTCATATGAAACTGTAAAGGTTTAAGGATTTCTTACAGCTGTAAAGTAAGTATTCTGACCCCAAAAATTTTAAAAATTAATTTAATCAAGGCCAAATTGATTGTTTGGCAAAAGCTCCAATCAACTGGGGTCTTTTGCCTTTTTCATACAAGTAAGACTGGCTCCAGTATAAAAACAATAACTAAAAGCTTCCACCCTATTTGGGGATGCCAGATGGCACTGTTTACTCTCACGATCGGGCGACACACAAGAGAGAGACACTAAAATGCCATTTGGTTGAGCAGAGTTTCAGTATTTACTGCTATTCACTCCTAAAGCTGTTGCTGTATTTCTCTCGATAATTTTAGAGCTGTGACACAATGCGACCCTTTAAAAATGAAAGTATGCACAAGCCCATAGATTGTTGTCTGGTAATTAATTTAGTCCAATGTTAGGCCTCTCAGGAATGTAGTTGTCTGAGGTTTAATAAATATTTTACACAATCCTGTGTCTTCTGTCTTTTTCTTGATGGTTTAAAAATAAATGTGGTTATGTTTTGTTAGTACTGTGATGGTTTTGGTGTTGAATAGGAAAAAAAAATCTTAATGTGAAAAACGATGCGGTTGATTACAAGTTTTGTAAAGATCAGAAGAAAATGACAAGCTATTAGAGAAAAGTATATCACTACAATAGATAGAAAAATAAAAGTGATATAAAGTTAAAACGTAATGAGTCAGCTTCCAGATATTGTACAGAATACAGTATCATGCTAAATTGTTGCTAAAAAGCATAATAATCCTTTTAATATTGTTTCCTTTTGAGCCACAAACTTTATTCTGCCCAAATAGTAGTGCATAGTTGTGAAATAGAAAGAAAACAACACATTACTTTAAAAAGGTTTCTTTAAATAATCTAAAAAGTGCAGCATGCATTTTATTTTAATCCCACCTCAGTAAAAACCTAGTTACAGCAAGTCTTTTGAGGTGTTCTTTATTATTTTATGCATATCCAATTAAGGTCAAAAATTGTTCATGTACATTAAAGACTTAGATATGAAATTATTTTTCTTCAAATAATTTCTTTTTCTGATAGAAATCAACACAGTCATCTATCAAAATATGTCAAAAAATATTCAGTGTCAGTTTCTATGGAAAAAAAAAACATATACCTTTTTGTTAATCCCTTTTTTTATGGGAATAACATGTCAAAAAAATTAAGACCACACAAAATTCAGTGGAAAGTAATTTATTTATTTGTTTTTTATTTTTTATTTTTTTCAGGGGTGGGGCAGTGACAGCAATAAAACGCTTCTTACTCATTTTCTATCAGTTCTTTGGATTATCCCTACGGCATTTTTCAAGATTCCTCTTTGACTGACTCAGAGTATTTGATTCCCTTTGCCATTACCCAATCTTCAACTATTCTCTATTCTAATCAGTACCTCTGCAGGGTCTATCCCAAACATTGATGTTATTTCTGCTTGTAAGACAAAAAAGTTTAAGGATTACTATGAAATCTGTGGAGGGTATAAATAACTATTTTGGGAATAGCCCAGTCAGATTGACATGTTTTATATGAAAACAAAAAAAGGACAGTTTGTATAAGAGTTTTTGATCTACTGCAAACACACACATAGTACCCATATATCTACGTGTTCGGCAACCTCCCTTCTGTCAGTGGGCTCCAGGGCAGCTGTGGCTACAATGTAGCTTGCCACCATCAGTGTGTGAGTGTGTGCGTGAATGACTGAATGTAATGTAAAGCGTTTTGGTCAAGTGTCCTGACTTGAAAAAGTGCTATATAAGTACAGGCCATTTACCAATTACCATATCTATTGCATGATTAAGCTAACAGATTCTCATCATAGAAGGAGCACTAACATTTTTAACCAAACCAGGCTTATCTTGATTAAACTAGGTTTCTGATGTTTCTGTGAAACTCTTTTGTTAACCAGCTAACCAAAACCAACAACCAAGGTTCAGCTGAGAGCCAAGTTATGTCAGAACCAACTAGTTCTTTTCTTTCCATTCCAAGCGTTCCTCAGATATTGAGAAATTACATTTTAGAGTCAAGACCTATGAAAAATAATCTTTAATCAATCAAAACATAAAGTTTTTAAGCATTTTTTTTCATGTCTGTTTATATTATCATTTTTTTCTTATATTTGACTATTAAGATATAATAGTGCTGTTTTTGATAAGTTCATGCATTAATTTAATTAATTTGATAAATTAATTCAATAAACTATTCTACTATGATAGTTGATTGTATTCTAAGGTTTTTAAATGTGAGTCTGATGATAGAAAAACCATTGATTATCCCACAATGATGGAAATTTTCGGCATAGACAGAAAAGGGGACAAAAATATACACTCTGTTTAATGGTAATGTGATGAAGATTAAAACATAATAAAAATTTGAATTGCCCAGCAGAAGAGAAATAAATCATCAAAAAGAGAAGAAAATACTGTGAAATTATTATTGGATAATAAAAATTCATGGTATAAAGGAATGTTCAAAGCGAGAAAGCCAATTTGCAAACTGCAATATGCATGATTGAACCAAAAAATATTTCAAGGATAAGTTAACAAAGTGGACAAATAAATCTGAAAGATGCTATAATGAATTCCTGATCAGAAGAAGCTTTGGAAATTACTGTCAAGTCTGGAAACACTTATTAAATTGGGAAGAACAAATACTAAAATTTCCTGCCACCTACACCTATATGACAGAGCTGGCCTCCCTGATGAGCTTTTTCTGCCTCTTCAGCTCAGCTACAGATAAGCTGCTGCTCCTGTATACAACGTAATTGATGATTCCTCACAGAGGCCCCTGAACTTCAAAAGACTTGACCCTCTTTGTCGTTGTTTGGATTCCAGTTTGTTGTTTAGAACAGCATGATAAAGAGCATGTTATTGGTTCCCTGAATACTCACCTGTTTCAGTAAAGTGGTTCTGTGCCTGTGAAAATCCACCAGCACCTCTTTTTGTTTTCCCTGAATTTAGCGTTGGATGATTCTGCTGGCACCAGTCTATAAAGCTCTTTTTCTACCATCTGCACTCTGAGTCATCCTCATCTGTGAGACCGACTGGGGCAGAGTCATGAGAGAACATCTAAAGGTTGCAGTGCAAAGGGGGAACAGAAAGAGTGCCAGCAAAGTTTCCTGTAGAGCAGAGAAAACGCTTGTGTCTTCACATACTGTATTCAACCAGCAACGTAATCGAGTATCCACAGGAACAGGTTCAACTCCTGTTGCAACATATTCTCAGTAGTAGTGATTGGATTTTGTTAGAATAATCACAGACCAATCAAGGCCTTCTTGTCTAGTGCTAGTGTAGGACATAGGGCTAGTGTAATTCCATTCTATTCATTTTATCTATTTTATGAAACATGCAGTTAAGGCAACCTGACAGAGATAATATGTATTCCTTGAGGTTAAAGGTATAGCAGAGGATTTTCGCTAATTTTTTTAAAAGAAAATTTAAAAAAAATAAATTGCATGCGAAAGCTTGCACAAGCTCATTACTCCTTGTGCACATTCTGTTTAAAAGTTGCTGTTCTCATAGCTCATACTTGAACATCTGCCCTTAGCCCCAAATCCCTCAATCACTATATAGAGCGGAGACTATATAGTGGACTCTATAGTGAACTCAGTAACATTACCGTTCACACAGATGATCACTGATTTTTGCTCCCCATTGGTCACATAACTCCTCCTCAACTGCGCAGTGCCTGCGCCATCTTTGTTATTAGTCGGCGCTGTCGGGTAGTGACAGCTTATGGCAACATCAGGCCACTGTGACAGAAAATCCCATATCTGCCTCTTCTGAGGCCTTTCTTTTCTTCTCATACACTTTGTAGACACTTTTTAAATAAAAACCCTTTTCAAAGGACCGCAGTGAGAAAGCTGAGCTTCAATGACTGTCTGAAACCATAGCTCACCACACATAGAAGCCTGAAAGTGAGCATGCGCAGAAAAATATAGCTAACTGGACGAGCATGTGGACGGTCTTACGTAAACATATCACCAGAATGATTGATTGACAATTAGGAGGACCACTTATTTAGATGATCCACCTGGAAATAAGAGGCCCTCCTCTATACTGTTAACTTTGGTAACAAATATTTTAACTTGCAGGAATACAGTAAAAAAAAAAAAAAAAAACAAAGTTAAATGTTTTTGTTTTTTTTCTAACATCTTTATATGACATTTGTTCACTACGGTTAGATTTCCTACCTCACTAGTATTCATCTTTCAAACAGCCACTGGAAACAGAAATTTAATTCAGTCCAACTGGAGGCAATCAGGAAATCAAGATATTCTGATTTTTTTGTCCACTGGGGAATCTAAAATCAACCAAAACTGAAATTTCTGTAGAACTGCTTTGACATAAATATCCTTCTCTATAGCTACAGTTAACAAACAATGGTTTATTGCAAATGTAACTTTCAATAAAGTTTAATCAACAGATGCCCTGACAGCAAATTCTCCCACCTGAGCTGTGGAGGCATGAAGTTACTCCAGACCTGCTTTGGAACTGTTGTAAGTTAATATTTAGTTTCTTATTCAAAACTAAGCCATTCATATCTCCTGTAGTAATGTAATGCTCTTTATGTCATAGGTTCACCTTCCAGCATTTGAGTTTCAAGAACAGCTGAAAAACTCAGTTGAAGGAATAGCCATGTCTGCAATGCAACAGAGGCTCAAGGATTACATTGGCTAGAGTTTCCTAACACTGCAACATGAGCACTTTTGATGCCAAAACCTAAACCATGTGAGTGATGCATGCTTAGTGTAACACCTATCCAGCTTGCATCAGGAAAAAGGAGAATCTATGTTTAGTATGTATTATACTGTGCAATAAAAAAACAACAACAAAATACTGGATTCATATAATATGTTTTGCTCAAGACACTTTATTTACACATGTAATTTTAGACATAAAAAATGAAGTAGTCACCAGTTTTAGATGCACAAACAGAATATTAAAAAGACAGGACACATGAGTCATTGCTGTAATATATAGCATTCATGAAAAAAGGGTTATCTGCACACAAAAACAAAACATTTTAGTCTGAGATCCTCAGTTCACAGTGAAAGTATGCAGCTGAAAGTCTTTGTAATCTTAAAATAACAGTAATCCTCCTATGAGAGATAGTTCAGGAAATCATTTTGGACAAACCTCTTTAAAAGCTCTTAGAACCATTTAAAGTGATCTAAGGAAAAGAGTGCCCAAATGCTGAATTCTTTGCACTCTTTGACCCCACAAACAATCTGTTTTCCTCATTTGTCGTCCGGTTATTTTAAGGATACAAAAACAGAAACAATTTGTTGCAGCAGTTATATGAAAAAAGGTATTAAACTTGAAAGAGAAATATACAATATATACAAAGAGCATGATCAAGAACCAGACCTTAATTTCAGATATGACCATTTAAGGGAGGATTAAAGTTTTAAAGTAAATATTTCTGTTTGTTGTTTTTTTTCTAAGCACTCTTAATAATAATAATTGAACTGTATTGATCTCATGTTGGAGAAATTTACCTCAGGCTGGGGAGCAGTGGGGTTAAAGGTCTTGCTCAGGGACCCAGAGCACAGGCTGTGGGGATCGAACCAGGTATTTGCAACCATCTCAGAGCACAAGCGCACTGCTCTAACCACTAGGCCAACACTACCCTGTTCCAAGATATCATACTATAGTGGCCAAGAGGAAGAAGCTAATACGGTATGCAGGTTAGGGTTACAGTAAGGGGTAAGTGGGGTATATTTAGAGGTAAGGCTGAAATCTAAAAACACAGGGATAGGTCTGGTTACTTCAGGGCAAATCCCTCATCATACAACATACAGTAGCCCTTTGTGAGGTAAGCAGTAAGCTACAATGAAGCCCATAAACTAAAAAGGCCCAACTTTAGTTTTTTTAAGGTCATATGTTAATCTTTTTAAGACTTAAGTTGTAAAAGACAGTCAAGCTAAATGCATGATGTATGGCATGTTTGTGGTCCCTTTAGTGTTGAACTCTAGACCCCAACAAATAAAGTCTAGACAGTTGTATAGCGCTGGCTCCATCACACAGAGTATAGCACCTGCAATTGAAAAAGCCCTCATAAAGTCCCAGTAACAGAGTCTTTATGTAGAGTAGATGTTGTAGGGGTTGTAGCCCAGGAGGAACTCGCCAACTCCAACACAGTAAACAACCTGGGCAATACCAAAGAGAGGGGCAATGACCAACGCCCGGCAACTGGCTCCTTTAAGGAAAGCCCCTGGACCCTCTTTTCTCAGGATCTTTCTGCAATTGGAGAAAAATGTCAGAATTTGAAGTGAACTCATCCCATTTCAGACGATACACCTAACTAATCAAGAAATAAATACCTAATGCAATCCACCACTCCACTGTAGGTCTCCTCATTGGGTCCTTTCTTGAGCGATTGCAACCTTGTCTTCACCACTAAGGAACATAAGCAAAAAAGTATTTTGTTGCAGGGATAGCTAGTTTTAGAAACATCTCGACATTTCGGTAAGTACCCCCATGACTCGATGCTTTACTTAAATTTTCAACCATTTCTGCGTGAAACTTACCATCACAAGGGCTGACTGCTACAGCAGCTATAGATCCAGCCAGGCATCCAGACATAAAGGACCAATAGAAAGGCACAGATGGATCTTCTGATGAATGCTTACCAAGCTGCTGCAGATGGGCAAAAAGAGGAAAGTACACAACAGAGAATGGGATGTCCCTACAAAAAAGCAAACAAAAAAGAAAAAGGCGTTGTTATTCTAAGTAACAAAAGTAATGATATATTAAAAAATGAAAAATAAAATAAATTGTATATAGAAAATGTCTAGAAAAACTCAACTCACCTCATCAGTGTGGCTCCAAGGCCCCTGTACAACCCTGCGACTCCTTTGGTCCTCAGCAGTTCTCTAGTTATTTCTATAGCAGACATACGCCTTACTTGAGGTGTAGGGGCGGTGTTGTAGGAACGACTGAGAACAGTGTTGGTCCCCCCCATCTTTAATGATGTTACAACACCGGGCATCACTCTCTGCTGGGCCACTGGAAAAACAGCAAGCATAGCATCTTTAAACATAGGAAACATTTCGAAGAAGTGAGTCATAACTGATTGCATTGCTTTGCTTTTTTTATGTACTTATTTATTTTTTTACCTATCCTGCCTGCATCTTGCAGCTGAATCTTCAGCATCTCCATTGGTGTAGTAATGATGACTTGGCACATTCCTGCACAACATCCTGCCAGCATCTCTTTGAAAACCGTGAGCTTTCCACTAAGGATATTAACATGTTTAGTAATATCAAATAAATAAATATTGATTAACAAAAACAAATATCAGAAGGATTTTGTTTTAATCTACTTACACATCACTGCTCAGTTGGTGGCGAAAAAAGTCATTAGCAGCTAGTTTTATGGCCTTCTCTGGGGTTACTAATGTAAGATTTACTGCAGCACCTGCGGAGTGATTACAGAACAAAATGCAGTTTTACAATCCTACCCATTTTTGTTAAGAGTCAATATAATCCGAACAGAAGTAAACAACAATTTTAAAAGGGCCTATTCACATTATATCACATTTTTAAATGGCATACATCAGTAGCTCATTCTCTTTGAACACAACGTTTTGCTGAAAGTTCTTATGGCACTGAGTTTGTATCTTTGTGTTTCGTGCTTTATTTTTGCTAAATTTGTTATTAAATAAATCCCTTCATGTATATTAACAATAACAACGCAGAATGACTGGAGGTAGGATACTGTGACTTTCCGCAAGGGTAAACAAGGGAGTAATGGGGTAAATCAATAGCACCTTCCAACAAATGTTATGAAAATAATTTAAAAAATGAAAGATTCAGTGTGGAAAAGAGCAAAGAAAAACTTCCAAGAAGGATAAGAGCCGAATAGAGCTGGGATTACAGTACTAACACTGGTGTCCACTGAAGCTTAAGCTGTGTAGGTATTAAGCAGTTGCTGCGGGGTTGATGGATGCATGAGTAAAGAGCAAACATCCTTTGTAATACTGATGCTAGTGAGAGAAATGCTATTCTTAGTCTCTACAGTCTAAGTATAAATTAAAGATAGACTGACTGATTTCTTGAAATCAAGACAGGGAGGGCTGTTTTCCTGTCCCCTTTAATAATGCACTTACAATGGAAACATCATTATAATGCATTCAATTTGCATTAATTATAATAAAAAGGCTTAGGCTCAGGACTTTATTTATTTAAATTTTTTTTTTTTTTTTTGCTTTACTGTTGTGTCCCTATTTGCATTTGGTAGGAAAAGGAATGTTCTTTTTCCATGATGTTCAGGTAGGAGGCTCTGGGGAGGATTCACTAGAACTTAGAATTGCTATAGATTTGCTAATTCAATTCATATTAGTTGGTCTTTGACCACACTGAGCTAACACTTTACTTTGAGGCATTACAGGATGGTCAGGATCTATTGAGAGGCTGATTCAAACCTGGCAACACATCTGTCTAAAGGTATAGAGGATGATCTTTTATTTCCGGGTGAATCTTCTAAATAGATGGTCCTCCTAATTGTCAATCATTCTGCTGATATATTTGCAGAAGGCTGCCCTACGTTCTCATCCCGTTAGCTATGTTTTTCTGCGGATGCACACTTTCAGGCATATATCTGTGGTCAGCTGCAGTTTCAGACAGTCATTGAAGCTCACCTTTCTCACTGCGGTTCTTTGAAAATGGCCGAAAGTCATAGGAGAAAAAGTGTCTACGAAGTGTATGAGAAGAAAAGAAAGGCCTCAGAAGAGGCAGATATATCCCGGAATGTTTTGCACGGAGAGCTTTCCTCGCAAAGCATTATGAAATTTGCTGTCAGAGCAGTCCGCTGTTGTCATAGGCTGTCGCTGCTCGACAGCGGCGACTAATAACAAAGATGGTGCAGATATCGCGCAGTGGACCAACGAAGAAGTGATTATTTGTCCGAACAGTAAGTTGACTGAGTTCACTATATAGTCCCCACACTATATAGTGATTGAGGGATTTAGGGGTTATGGCGGACGTTCAGACACATTAAGATTGTATGAGCTATGAGAACAGCAACCTTTAAACAGAGGAAAAAATGGGTTTGTGCATGCTCTTGCACGCACATTTTTATTTTAAATTGGAGAGGAAGGGTCTTTTAAAAAATTTGAGAAAATCCTCCACAATACCTTTAAGTCAACCTACAGATGGAATTCTATTTAGGATAAAAAAAAGAGAATGAAAACACTAGCAGGATGGATGCTTGGTGTATATAACCTTACATTATCATGATCAAATGTTTTTTTGTGTGTTTTTGTGAGTAAGCATATAATGTTATTATGCCCCTTTAAAGTGTCTGTTGAGACGAGAAAGGCTAGTTTAAGCTACAAGCCAGTAAACTAGTTAATAAAACGATGTGCATTTCAAACAGACTTATAATTGCAATATCTCTCAATCAAGGTATTGTCGGACATACCTCTGTACATGCCAAAGTACCCTTCTGATTTAACGGTTTTAACAAGGCAATCCATCCTAAAATGAAACAAAAAACTTATTAGTGAATGCTGGTTGATATTATCAAATCAACACAACATAAGGACTTTGCTATCTTTATTTGAGCAGTTTTTTTTTCTTACATGTTCTTGTACAGTTGCTGCCCACTGCGCTGGTTCTGCAGGCGGGTCTTGGCCAGGTCTATTGGGAACACACAGGTGACTCCAACTATGCCTGCAATCCCTCCATTGATTAGTTTGGCAGGTAAGCTGTACAAAGAGAAGTCAAAGCTGATGTTTACAGTAATGTGGCTTGGTGATAGTTGATTATTACAGGAGGATAAGGTTCAACATACTAATTAAGCTAAATAAAAAACTGAAGTATTGATTTAAAAAAGTAAGTCATACGAAGTATTTTCTTTATAGTGCTGTAGTGTTGTCTATGGATAGTGTGTCATGCTTTATTTTAACTGTGCTTCTGAGAATCCGGTCATCTAAAAATAACTTGTTGACAAGGGTAATCATACATTCTACACATTGGTATTAAAAATCTAACGCCTCTCAAACTCAGGACTTTATATTCATATTTATTCATCTTAAATATTTAGTCCAGAAAATATTGTATCCGCATACAGCCAACATATCATGCTGGTAAAGTTCATACCTAATTTGTTGCTGCTGGGCCATGGTTCTTGGTTGTTTGTGCGTGCAAATGTTGGTCAGAGATAGAAAGCAGGCCACGGAAGGAGAGCAGGCTGAGAGTCCCTGAGAGACACAGAGCAAGGCAAGAGTTGAAAGATGTTCAGGATTATATATAGGGAAGGGAAACCCAGCCCAGCTGGATTTAGGATAAATCACATCTAGCTCCACCTACATCCCCTACAGCCAGAAAACTGAGCCAGAGTTAGTTGTAACCTCAGCAAAATCCCCTTTGGAGGATAGACCTTCCAGCCATGTAAGAACTAACTTTATTTACAACCGGTTACTAGCTCATCTGTTCCAGCATAAAACAAACTTACATAAGAACAAATGGAATACTACTTACAGTTAAAACCAACTTTAACATACGCCGTTTTGATCACACTAGATCAGAGAAAACATTTTCTCTTTGATGTCAGATAGTATTAAGATTATCTTTATTTATTTTAGCCAGTAGTAATAAGAAAACTTTTTCCATAGTTTGTTTAGATTCATAAGTTAACATTATATTATTTTATACCTTTGAATAATTTTAAAACACTTAAAACATAAAGATTCAGTTTTATAAGCTTTACAGTTTGATAAGCTTTAAATGAGAAAACATTACTGATTGGAAGCCTACCACTGGATGTTTTTTTTTTTAAGTCAACACTTTAAGCACTCTTCTTCCTTCTTCCTCAGGGACCCAGGGAGGCAGTCTGTTGGGTATGAGAAGGCTGAACATATCAGGTTCAAACCCTACTGACTGCCTGTTGGCCCCTGAGCAACACATTGAGCCTTTGATTGCTCCCTGGACGCTGCAGGTTGCATTCTGCTCCCAAACTGGTGGGTTAAAGGCAGAATGCAACTGTTGTACATTGCAAATTTAATTCTACATAAATGTTATTTGTCACTGCAATCCAAATGAAGTTATAAATTAGGCTAACTATCCTTGATTATTATTCTTTGTAGTGTGACATAATAAAGAAATACTATTTATAATATATGTGAACAAATTATGAGTCCTAGTTATGCTTCCGGTTTCCAGATGCCTGAGGATGCCCCCATTTATTTGTTTAAACAATACACAAGGATGGCAACTAAGGAAGCATCCTTCACACTGTTCTGGAAGAAGATGGGGAATCCTCTCAGGGATAAACATATCTTGGTACTAAAATATCTTTATCAACCCCAGAACTGAAGGGAAAGGCCAACAGTGAATGTGATGGTTGAAGCTTGGAATAGAGATTAGCCACAGTTGCATTAGTCCAGCACTAAGTCTTATACCGACATAGAAAAAAAGACCACAAAAAAAGAAGAAAACATACTCCAAATACAGTTTGAAAATGCTCTCATAGACAAAGACTAGCTTTTGGAAACATTTGGTAGAATGTGTGGATGGCAGTTCTTAGGCCTGTTACCTTGCTGGAACATCCTGAGTAGAAATCCAAGCCAAAGATTGTTTCTGCATGGAGTACGTATGTTCTTCACATGTAATCACATGCTCTTTGTTAGTACAGCACAACTATTGCCTGAGTTAGTTTTCTCTTAGATATGTTTGCATGTAATGTTTTTCTTTTTACAAATATATTCCATGTCTTGAACTTGCACTGTACATGTTAATATTTACTCTCTGTGTAGCAATATTATCAAATTAAAAATTTCTAAACTTGAGCAGCCACCACCATTGCCATTACTACATATCCAACCTTGACCCACTTGACACCTACGTAAGTTCTAAACCTAACCCTTGGCAAAATAGCTTGAAAGGAACAAAAACGTCCTCACTCCAAAGGTTAAAAATTTTAACCTTGTCCTTTCAGTCTAAAACAGGCCCCCACCCTTTATATTGACTAGAATATTAGACAATGATGCTCCTCGAAGCTCTCCTAAAAAGTCTGGGCTGCTGGACAGCAGCCAGTCTCTGCCTCAAGATGAGTTAAATTATCTTTGTGTCCTGTTTATGAACAGTGCTAGGAAGACATTGGAAAATGATTGCCAGATTTGTCAGATACACTGATCTGCTGGTGGAAATAGACCTGAGCTGCAAAGCATAACTCTCAGTTAGTTATCTCATCTTCAAGCTGTTTCAATAAATAGAAACAAAGTAAAACCACAAGCATGACCATTGATGTAGTATTATTCAGAGATGTTAATACATGCTCAACACAGAGTTTTATTGCTGTTTCACTTTCAAACTACAGAAAATATTACATGCAATGTTAAAATACAGAAACATTAGCACAAACACTACTCATCAATCTATAAATCCACTTAGCATGTTGCTGCCTGGCTTTGTTAGCATGTTGTCAGGTTTCCCGAGGGTTTCGACTTCTCTTTCTCATCACCATCAAGTTTTAAGGAGCACTGATCGTATGAGTACGGTCTGGGTTGTACACAGTGGTGCATGCGTGTGTCACAGCGTCTGCAGCTGCAGCAGCGGGCCGAGGGATAATAAAACTGTGAGCCGACATCCTTAGGACAACCAGGTATGAAGACAGGACGGTACACCAGAGAGAGAGGCACACAGCTCCGCTGAATCATGAAAGCCCTTCCAAAGTGGCCCTTAAGATTGGTATCCTGGAAAACAGGAAGAAGGACTGTAAGGGATAGGGCCATTTTGATTAGAACTTCAAAAAGCTTACAAAATTCCCTTGTATCTCAAATATTTATTGGACTGTGTGATGTTACACAGTCCAATACATGTTGATGAACCCAACAGAGCAGATGTTGATGAACCCAACATATGCTCTTTCCTGCCATTCTGCAGGAAGAAACAGATGTTGGGTTCATCCTGCACAGGTCGCCAATCCATTAAAGGGCAAAACAGAGATGTTAAGGAAACGCTCACACACACTCTAAGCACCATTTTAGAGTAATCAAATAAACCAACAGTCATGCACTATTTTACACTCAGAGGGAGAACATTGAAAACGCCATGCAGAAAGATTTCATGACCTCCCTGCAACATGCAAAACTTTTAAAATTGTGTCACAACAGTGCAGCCCCTGTTTAGCTAATCCTAAAAATGGCACTTTTGCAATAACACAATAGAAGCAATGATAAAACAACATTAGTCTGTCTGTTAGTGGCTGAGGCAGTTCTTACTCTTGTGTAACAGTAGCCACTGCAGATGGTTGTGTTGATTGCCACACACTGGGAACAGTTTTTCTTCTCAATCCATATGGTGTGATTCTTCAGCATACAGGTGCGCACCTCTCCAACCATGAGTGCAAAAAGTAGAGTGCATTTCAGAACGAACAGAAGCATGCTAAAGAAACAGAGATACAGAAATGTGTAAGAAAGGGAAAACAAAAACATTTGTAAGATACAAAGCATTAAAAAAGAATAAAAATATTTACAAACCTTTATATTTAATTTTGGTAAAATGTGTTATATTTGTGTCTAGATATGCCAGAGGACATGCAGTGGGGCAAGTGATTTCCTCTTGATCTGCAATCTCTATCTTTTTGAAAGGAATATTGTAGTCTGAACTGTTTTCCTCCCTTTTACTTAGTATTCTAAGTCAAACTCTTCTCTGCCTCTCTTCTCTGGGAATGATTTGAAACCACAGTGGCTTTCTAGCCTCTTTTATGGAAACCTTAATCCACCTCAGTTGTCCTACTGAACTCCAGTCCACAATATCCTCCCAAACATCATGGCAGCTGCAGGTGAGTTCATGCACACATGAATGTTCGTCTTCAGACGTCACAATATGTAGTACACAGAGATTGGGAGGTGACATACTAATCTAAATTAATGCCCCAGCAGGTTCAGGGGGTCAGAAAACTAGTACATATGTCACTCAAAACTGATCAGTAAAAATGATAACAGGTTTGAGGAAACTGCACAAATCTAGATTTTAATGATTTTTTTTTCTGTTATAAATAAATACTTATAAACTATTCAGCAATAGTTTCAAAAAAATTACACTGATTTAAGTTTGATTTTGTGACTAAGAAAACAAAACAAAAAAAGTGCTTTTTGTGTGTTTTTAATAACTCATCACAGTGGAATACTTTAAAGAAGAAGCAATAAGGCTTTCAGAGCAACAAAAATATATTTTCTTTGTTTTTTATCTAGAAGTAAGTCACAAGTTTAAGTATAAAATGTTTTCCTGAGAATAAAACAACTTTGCGTTTAATGTGACTAGAGCAGACTACTCACATGATTAAGTCCCACCTGAGAAAAAAGCTGTAGCCTCTTTATCTAAGCTCTTAATACTCCCATAATTCCCATCTGTTCCTGAGAAGAAGCACAATGCCTTTAAACTTTCTCAATTATCATGTTTACTTACTTACTTATTATTACTTATTAGGGAAAAATGTAGCTATTATTTAAATAGTGAATAAACCCTTAACCCCTCATTTTAGGTGGATAAAAATAATGTTATAAACTAAATGACAAATAGTAATGTTTTGATAAAATACTAGTTTTGTTGAGTCTATGAGAACACCAGTAAAGTTTAAAAAAGCTGGTGTGGTACATGGCGATGCGGGAAAAATCTTGATTATCTATAGTTTAAATAGGAAAGTTCGCAAAAACTACAGAAAATATAAAATCAGCATTCAGAAAAAGAAATGATCATGTTAAAGAACTACAAATGTGTTCAGAAAATCTTAAAGTTTAAGACATCTTACAAATTAGCTTGAACTGATCAAACTAATTTAATCAATATATGATTTTACCTTTTTTTTTCTATTTGTTCTGACCTTACTTTCTGGTCGTCTGTTTTTGCTCTACATTTCCAATGATGGATCAGAGTTACGTAACAAAGCTATCAGATAATTACAGTAAACTGGGTCACAAACAGCACAGCAATTATCTTGCCTGACACACATATGAGGGTCATTTGGGTGACATCAGGTTTACAAAGCAACAAAACACACATGTCTAAAAGTTGTTATTAGGCAGCAATAGAGTGGCAGGTTATATTTTCATACTGGAAAATAAGAAAACGTGAATGACAGATTTTCTGTCCTTGGTTTTGTATCATTATTGTCATTAAAAAAAGCTAATTGGAAAGAAACCTTTACTAAAGAAAATAAAGAAAAAAATAGGTGTAAGTAGTCTCCATATGCATCTTATACATATTCATATTAACAAATGAGTTTAAAGAGGTTATGTGTACCTGCAAAATCGAGTTCCTCCAAACCAAAACAAAAAAGACCCATTTAAATAGCTCAACAAATTTTATTTTACAAGTGGTAAAAACACTTTTAATGAGGATATAAAATGATTTAATCCTCAATATGACAACCAATCTTCGAAGCCTACTTAGCAGATCACCTTTTGGTATGTGATACAAGTACAGACACCAGATGATGCAATGATCCTGAGGAATATTACCTGTCTGTTTAACATTGCTGGGCTTGCATGCGGCAACTCCTTTTTCTAAAATCTTCATAGATTTGTTTACTCAAGTTCCAGTCAGCGAATACAAGACTTAATTGAAGTGAATATGGGATTGTGATCACTGTCCTGTATATCATGTTTGAAGTGCAAATGACACAAGCTCTAGGCACCTCACAGAAAGCATGTTTTTTCCCCATGATTTTGTATGAACGCAAGTAATCTTGTCCTTCACAGTGTGCCAACAAAGGAAGCAAGAGGCCTAGCAGGGCTAATCAATGATAGCTTACATAGACAACTAAGAATTAGATTTAATGCAGATCAATCACGCTGAAATCATAAACTGAAAAATCAAAAATTTTCAATAACACAGTAACTGAAAACCTTAACAATATTCTCTAATTTCACATTGCAACTCTTTTATCGAATACAAAAGTCATCTGTGTCACTGCAGAGATTTTTCGTTTACCATGTTACCATCATCCTGAGCTGCTTCGGCTATGTTGGGGGTTGGGTTTGTTCGGGCATTAAAAAGAAGGACCCTCCTCTCTTTCTACCTGCAGTCCATAGATGGAAGGTTCAGGTTCAAGTAGTGCACCTAAACTACAAGTAAAGGTCTTTTAATAATTTTATTGTTATCTGTATAAACCAACAGGTGATTTAGAAGAGTGTCAATTGCATAATGTCCTTGGAGAAGAGAAGTAATTTTAACCCTGCCCTTAAAGGGATAGTTCGGTATTTTTGACATGAATCTGTATGGCATCCCCATC